AGCGACTCCCCCACCCTCGCATTTTCCCTCCTTCGCCCCGTTAAGTGCTTATTTTCTAGTTTGCCATTTCCTCCCCTTGTTTCGGTTACCATGTTCTGTCGTTTTCTTGCAGATTGCCGTGAGAGTCACATGTTGAACAGTCTAGCTTGCGTTAACAGGTTTCATTTCCGCAGCACGGGAAACGCTCCCGCACAGTTCCAGCCCGGCCCCTCTGTCCACACGAACTACGTCTGTGGAAATGGTGTGCCCATCAGAACACATGATCATCATCGCCTTAAGTAGATGTCTTTAAAATCAGCTAGAAGAGGGGTCACAAATGAAGACACACCTGTGCTGTGTTGTGTGTTGGCGACAGAGCCACCTATGCTGGCGCGCTCCCTCTCGTCACATGGGTTCGTTTCTCGCAGGCGGGTCTGCTGGCCGCAGCCAGCTTGGTTGACAGTTTTGGCTTCCGGCACTTCGGGTGGGTCACCCCACTGCCTTGGCCCTGTGGTTCCCGACAGGTCAGCTCTCACCTTGCAGAGGTGCCTTTGCATCTATCTGTCCTGGTGCTTTCAAGATTTTCTGTCTTCATATGGTTTGGACAGTGTCGTTAAGATGCATCTGACTGTGAACTTTGAGTTTATCCTAGTTGGAGTTTTTTTGAGTTCCTGGACGATTTATATCAAACTTGGAGAAAGTCTGGCCATTATTTACTCAGCTGTTCTTTCAAACCCCTCCTGCCTTTGGGACTCCCAGGGTGCCCATGCTGGCACTCTTGTCGGTGGCACACAGGTCTGAGGACCTGTTCACGCACCTTGTTCTTCTTCCTGTCTGCCCCTCAGACTGGAAGATCCCAACTGACCGATGCCCAGGTCTGTGGAGTTTGCCCGCTCAGATCTGCGTGGAGCCTTGCTAGGGAAATTTTCATTTCAATTATTGAACGTTTCAGGTCTAGAATTTGTATCTTGTTCTTTTTTGTAACTTCTCTGTTTACTGATGTCACTTAAGGTGACATGTTCTCATACTTTTCCTGATCTCTCCGCAGGTGGCTTCCTGCGGTGCTCTGGACATATGTAACACAGCTGGTTTAAGGTCTCTGCCTGCCTAGCTCGATGCCTGGCTTGCTCTGGACGCTTGCTTTTGATTGTTTTCCCCTGTATTTGGCCACATTTGCTCGTTTCTTTGAGCATCTTGTAAACTTTTGTTGAAAACCAGACAGTTTACATAGCACAGTGTGGCAACTCTTGAAATCAGAGCTGATTTTGTAGAGTCCCCTGTGTGAGTTTCCTGTGGTTGCAGAACAAAGCACCACCTACTGGGGGCTTGGAACTGCAGAGACCCGTTGGCCTCAGGTGTGGAGAGCACAGGTGTGCAGTCAGGCATTGCCATTCATGCCCCCAGAGGGCTGTTGTCACCGCTCCAGGCCCTGCCCCACTGGGCTCCCTGGCCTCAGGGAGTGCCTCAGTCTCTGCCTCTGTCACGTGGCCTTCCGTGTGTCTGGGTCTTCACTGTGTCTGCTCATCAGAACCCCAGTCGCTTTGCGTCAGGGGCCCACCACTCCAGTGTGACCTCATTTTAACAGACTAATGATCACATCAGGAAATGGGCCCTGTATTGCTGCAAACCTTTGGTCCATTCCCAGGCTTCTGCAAAATCTGATTCTGACCACTTTTGCCAGCGTTCTCGTGGCTTTTATAGAGGAGAGGACTTGTGAAGGTCCTTGCCGAAGGCAGTTTCCGTTTTCATCGAAAGGGCTTGTATGGACATCGCGCTCCTGACGCCCACTCCCCTCACGCGAAGTGCACAGCGCAGGGGTTTTGGACATTCAGCTTGTGCAGTCTCCACCGTGATCGATTCGAGAGCGTGTCATCACCCTGAAGGGGCCTCCGTTCTCCAGTACTGCGCCCACTTCTGCAGCCCCGGCCCGAGGCAAGCACTTGTGCCTGCCCCGAGCGTCCCCTCCTCTGGACACTCCGTGTGGGGGGAGCCAGCCCACGCATGGGCTCTTGTGTCTGGCTTCCTTCACTCTGCATCCTGTTTCAAGGTTCACCCCTGTCGTAGCATGATTGTACTTCCTTTTTATGGCTGAATAATGTTCCACTGTGTAGGTGGACCTTCTCTTTATCCATTCATTGGTTGGCAGACATTTGGGTTTTTCCACTCTTTGGCTCTCGTGCGTAATACAGCTGCATACGGGTCTCGTGTGGACATACGTTCTCGCTTGGGGACATTTCTGGGATAGAATCGCCGAGTCCTATAGTAATTATCCCCAACGCTTTTCGAAGCAGCTGCGCGACCTACACACCTGCCAGCCTGCGTGAGGTTCCCATACCCTCCGGTACTCACAATAGTCTTTTCATTTACTTTTGCACGGAGCCCCCACAGCAGGTGGTATCTCTCTGTGGCTGTGATTTGCATTTCCATGACGGCTGACGATGTTGACCATCTTTCCATGTGCTCACTGGCCATTGCTGGGTCTTTGGAGAAATGTCTGTTCCAAACCTTTGCCCATTTTTAAATTGGATAGTCTCTCTCTCTCTCTCTCTTTTTTTTCTTACTGAGTTGTAAAAGTTCTATCTCCCAGACCCTAGTTCCTTATGAGATAAATGATCTGCAGTGTTTTCTCTGACAAGCGCACTGTCCCCCCTTACCTTTCACCTTTAGTATTTCCTGCTTTTCCACACACTCAGGGCTGTAGCCACATGAGACCGCGTTTCTCTGGAGATGCTGGTTTTGCCGCCTACGAATCCAGTGAGTGTCAGTAGTTCCCTCAGGCCCCCGCCGTGCCCCCGCCCCACGCCTGGCAGCGCGCCCTGCCGCTGGCCTGTCCGCGACAGAGCTGGCGAGTCCCTGCCCTCTCGGAGCGTGCGTGCCACTGCGTGCCAGCCCCCTTCCGCTAACCTCAGGTGCTGCCGCAGTTGTCACTGCAGGAGTCCCATTCTCCCCAGACCGTGCCCGGCAGTGGTGGACAGAACGGCTCCATAATGAGCGGGCTCAGCCACCCTGTCCTGCTCACCACTGCACGCCCTGGAGTGCGTGCTTAAGAAACGCCTGTTGGCTCATGATTGAGGATCTGTGTGGTCTCTTAAGAGATTGTATAACGCAGCTTCAGCGTCGTCAAGATGTCTTTACACAGCTGGGGGCTGGGTTCTTGGGGCGACCTGAGAGTATAGGTACCTTCTAGAGCTCTGGTCTCCACACATTCTTCACCATCAAGATATGGGGGACTCCTGATCCATACGTGTCATATACACATGTACTCGTACACACACTAATACACACTCTTTACACACCCACACACTCACTCATATGCACATGTGCTCGTACACACACTACTCATACACTCTACACACCCACATACACTCACACGCATGTGTATTCATACACTGCCCATACACACTCTACACACCCACACACATGCACTCGTGCACACTACTCATACACTTTACACACTCACACATGCTTATATGCACATGTACTTGTACATACACTACTCATATACACTACACACCCACACACGTACTTGTGCGCACTAGTGTACACTCTTTACACATCCACACATTATACACACATACTTGTACACGTTACTCATACACTCTGTTCACATATACACATACACATGAATACTCGCACACAAATGCACATATACTCAGACACACTGCTCATACACTGTGCACCCCCACACACTTACACACATGTATACTCACCTGCAAACACTTATACACATGCACCCAGCCCCATCCTATACACAAATTCATGTACACACTCGTGCACACACACTCGCACACACACGTACACGCTCATGCACGAGTACCCACACCTGTCCGTATCTGTATTTTAACGAGTGACGTGAGTGTGCTGCTCCGTCACTGCACACCGATGCCCCAGAACGGGAGGTCGCGGATGCGAGCGCGGAGCGGGGAGGGGGGCTGAGGGGAGAGTGTGGGGGGCGGGGAGTGGGGGAGCACGGAGGCGAGCCCCCTTTCCCTCGCGGCGCGCTCTGCCCCGCACGCCGCCTCGCACTTGCTGCATAGTTTTCTGGGGGTCTTTACAAGGCCCTGGGGTCCCAAGTAAACATCAAGGCCTTAGTTTATCTTCTTTCTTAAGCTTTAAGGTCAGTTAAAGGCAGCTACGTATTAAATCCTCAGATGCTGGGTCGTTTCACCAATGAAAACAGTCTGGCCATGAACTCTGTTTAGAATGTGAACGAGACTCCTGCACTGAAGAGCTACCTTGAGCAAATCATGAAAAGCAGCACAGCCACATCATGGAGAATTTGGAGAAAAGGGAAAAGAACTATACTTAGTCGTACTTATTTGGAATAAGATTCTTTGCCTCCTGTGGGATACTTCAACTTAATTTTTGAAAATTGAAATAAACTTTTTTCTCTTTAGAACTCCATACTAAAAATCAAACTGACTTTTTAACATGATTTTCTTGTTTGTCAGGCATAAAATCTCTGAATTGTCTTCTGTGGCTCTGTGAGCCGTACACGGTGACTTCTTGTCTGGCCCGAGGCTGAAGTTTTAGGGCTTGATCCTTGGCGTGTGGGATCAGGAGCCCTAGCTCTACGCAGGCCACAGGTGTTTTGGAAACGGGCGCCGCCGTGGCGTGGGGGAGCAGCGCGTGCTGGGGCAGCTCGGGCAGAGCCCCACGGCCCGCCCGTCTCGCTTTAGCCTGCCTCGCTCCAGAGGAAAGGAGGACTGGCTGTTCTTTGCGCATAACTTTTATGAATTTGGCTTCTTTTTCCTGCCTCAAGTTGAAAATGAAATTTGACTGCTTCCCAAACAGTGTGCTTGCTGACTCGGCAGGCGGGCGCGTCTGGGCGGGTGCTCCATCGGGGCAGGGGACCTGGCCCTGGGCGTCGAGTCCGCAGCACGCATGAATGAGTGTGACCTGGGCACGAGTGGGGTCTGCCCGGGCCACATGGCCAGAGGCCCCGTGCTGAGCTGGCTCCTGGTGGACACGGAGAGCCGGCGGGAGCCCCTACTCTGAGCTGCTCTTCCTGTCTCTTGCAGACTTGCCAGTGCCCCAGGTGAACGAGCAGAGGGACCTGGACCCCGGTCGGATGCAGATGCTGCAGGGGAACCCGCTGCTGCTCCCACACAGCCTGCAGGAGCTGCTGGCCAAGGACACCGTGCAAGTGGCCCTCGTCCCCGAGAGGAAGGGCCTCTTCCTGAAGCATGTGGAGTACGAAGTGTCCAGCCAGGTACCGACCGACTGTGTGTGGGGGGCAGTCTGGGCAGGGATGTGTGAGAAGGGCCAGGGCACTGCAGAGAGTCAGGCTGCTCGGGTAAGCCGAGCCCCAGAACCGGGTGTCAGAGCCAAGCTGCCCAGCAGGCCCGTCCGTGCGTCTTGTTGTGGCTCAGCCTGGCCTCACTGTCCCTGCGCTCTGGGACGCAGCTTCTCCGGACGCTCATCCGGGTGGGCGGACTGCAGAGGCAAACCCTGGCAGGTCAGCATGGTGATAGTTCTCGACTCTGGACATCCGAGGCTTAGAATGCGGGCCCCAGAGTAGCGGATCCAAGCAGTGGACCTGGTTTGCGGGGCAGGGTTGGCGTGTGTCGGTCTAGCCCCCTTAGCAGCCTGCCTGCCCCGTGGGCACCCTGATTCTGAGTCCGGACACCTGGCACTGTGTGCCTGCAGAACCGCACGGCATCGGCAGCGCTGGTCTTTCTGTCTCTTCATCGTTGTCTTTTCGTTTCTGGGTTCAGCTGGAATAAATGCGGATGGGCGTTTTTATTCCTGATCCTGGAAATGGTGAACTGAGAACATCTTTGGAACCGTGGAGTCCACTGTGTTTATGGGGGACTCGCAGAGACAGCGGGCCACAGGCCAGTGAGAGAGCTGCCTGTCACGGCATTGTCGGGCAGGCAGCTGCCAGGGCTCTGGCTGGAGGGTCTCAGCTGTGACCCCAGGTCAGCAACTTTCAAGACTGACCGGCAGCTCTGTCATCATGGCTGTTTGCTGTGCTCGGTGAGATTCCAGCCACGGGATTTGTGTCACTGTGCTTTAAAGCGCAGTGACATAAGCCTGTGACTGTCCTGATGCTGTCGGTGCTGCTCCCGGGGGACGGAGGCCGGGCTCAGAGGGGAGGGGTCGCTTCTCAGGTAGTGTGAAGACAGCGTTGCTGACCGGCATGGCATTGCCTTGCCTCCTGCCCGACTGCCGTGAGCTCAGCCACAGTGCTGGGGGCCGCGGCTCTTCCTCCCAGGGCCTCGTCCCCACAGCTTGATGGGCCGCTGTCCTGTGAGTGCACCAGTGGCCTCTGCTCCAGCTCCCCTGAACTGCCCGTCCCTTAGGCGGACTGCCTCATGGTGACGTTTTAGAAGGTGCTGGGTTTGCCCAGGCTGCCTCCTGGGATGTGTGTGAAGGGGCGGCCTGCTGATGTGTGAACGGTTGGGGAGCACTCGGCCACACGCTTGCTATGGCTGGCACCATCTTGCCGGAGTCTGGAGTAAATACCAGCGTGGCAGAATGCACAGGATCCCAAAAGAGGTGGACCCACCTGACTTACGTTTCTTTCATGTAGCATATTTAACGTTTCTTATAGACCTTCTAGTTTGGGGCAGTTTTATTAGGTCACAGCGAAATTGAGCAGAAGGTGTGGATTTGCCTGACCCCACACACACAGCCCCCCATTATCTGCCGAGCCTGCATCGACATAGCACTGTCACCCAAAGCCCACATTTGGCATTAGGGGTCACTCTTGGTGCTGTACGTTCTGCGGGTTGGGACAAATGCATGACGAGGTGTAGCCCGACAGTGTCATACAGGTATTTTCACGGCCCGGGACTCCCTCTGTGCTCTGCCTATTCGCCCTCACCCATCCCCGAGCCCCTGGTACCACCAACCCTGCCCCGGCCCTGTCGCTCTGCCTTTTGCAGAGTGTCACCCGGGTGGGCTCAGCCTCAGCTACGCTGTCTGCGAGTGGCATGGGTTACGGACCGAAGGGCGCTGCTGGTGCCCGTGTCCGCGTGGCTCTTGGCCTCCCCCACGCGGCCACTCCGTTGAGGGGGCTGCCGGTCTCGTGAGCCTGCAGGGTCCTCCACGGCCAGGCCACAGTGGGCTCTGGGCAGGTCCATTGGAGTCCCCCGTCGGCCCCCCTTGGCCTTTGCATTCCGGCGACCGGCTGGTTTTGGACAGATGGGTCGGTTCAGGGGGCAGTCGTGCGGCCACATTAGCGTTACCTGGAGGTGTCTTGACACACTCTAAAGCAGGAAGGACCCGTCACTGTCCGCGCCCGCCTCGGCCCCCGAAGCTGCCTTTGCAGAGTCTGCTTTGCTGCGGGTCCGACTGACATGGCAGAAGTGGGGCTGCGGCTGTGCCTGTTTTGGGGTGCACCCCCACCAGGGCCTGTGGGAGGAAGGCGGAGCTTAGCGGGGGCACAGGGGAGGTGTGGCCCCTCACGCTAGGGCCGCTCCCCTGCAGCGCTTCGGGGCCTCCGTGAGCCGCCGGTACAACGACTTCGTGGTTTTCCACGACCTGCTGCTCCAGAAGTTCCCCTACCGCATGGTGCCGGCCCTGCCGCCCAAGAAGATGCTGGGAGGTACGCGGGCCGCGTGGGTCGGGAGCTGCCCTGAGCTAGGTCCCCCCTCCCACCACGGGTGCCGCCCCTGCCGTCCTTCATCCCCAGTCTCCCTCTGGGCCTCCTGCCCCCGCGGGAGGGGTGGCACCAGCCCCTCGGCCATGCGGTCACAGCTGTGCCATGGTGCCTGGGGTGGTGCAGGGGTGGCGATGTCACCTGGCACCCTTGGCCCTGTGAGCCTTCTGCTGGATGATGGACGTGTAAGGATGTTCCCGTTGCTGCCAGTGGCCCTGGATGGGGACCAGGAGCCCCATCACGTAGCCAGCTCTCGTGACATGTGGGGACCTGACCAGTGGGCACCACCACGGCCTCAGGCACTCTGTTAGAGGGGCAGAAGTCAACGCAGGGCGTGGGGACTCGGCCTGCGCTCCTGTGCTCTCCACCCCCTGGTGCCCGCGGCTCCTTCCCAGGCGCTGTGCGGTGGGGCGGGCATGCCCCGGGCTGCCTGGTGACCGTTCTGTCCTCAGCTGACAGGGAGTTCATCGAAGCCCGGAGGAGAGCCCTGAAGCGCTTCATTAACCTGGTGGCCCGGCACCCCCCCTTCTCCGAGGACGTGGTGCTCAAGCTGTTCCTGTCCTTCAGCGGCCCCGTGAGTACCTCAGGGACAGGCAGCCCCACTGCTCTGGGCCATGCTGGAGTCTGCAGATGTAGAGCGTGGCCCCAGGTGACGCTGTGCCCCTGGGGACGTGAGCTGAGCTGGAGGCACGCAAGTCCCGAGAAACGCACTCTGCACCACGTCAGTGTCAGAAGCCCAAGCGCCAGTGTCCTCCACACTGCGGTCCCGCAGTTGAGATGAGTCAGGAAGCCAAGGAGCTGCTCCCAGTCGGGGAGGAAGACTTCATGGCAGGCCGCCTCGTCCCCAGGGCTGTCACCTGTTCTGTAGGAAGGGACCTTCTCACTGGGGCGGGGTGAGGGAGCTCCGATGGGGTCGATGCGTTCGGTCCCCACCGTTAGAGAGGACCCCTTCTTGTGCAGGCACCTGGGAAGGGGCTCGGCCTGGGGTCAGCGTGGCAGAGGTGGCAGTGGCTGGGACCCTGGACCGGGCCTCAGGCTCTCCCACTGTGATCCCAGGGGACGGCGGGTGCTGCCCCTTCATGGGATCGGTGCCAGACAGGGAGTGCTTGCCGCGACCTGCCCGTGAGCTGGGAGGTGGAGCGTTTCTTTCCTGGGGGTGGATGGACTCCCTGAGAAAGGGAGCTTTCTCGCCAGAGAGGAATGTAGGACGCCGAAGCAGCTCAAGGCAGAGGAAGGGGAGCTGGGGAGGGCGCAGCTGGCTGCAGAGCTGAGCCGTGTCCTGGTTGGCGGGCGTTAGGCCCCACTGACCCCTTGCCGGGCAACCGACAGTGTCCTGGGTCCTTCCCACTCCACTCTAAGATGAGAGAATTGGGACAGGTGATCTTCAGGGCCGTGGGGGACTCCGGTTCCTGACCCTGCACGGCTGCCTGGTGCGGGCCTGCCTGTGCTTCTGGGGCTCCCTGTGCAGCCTTCTCTTACGGCGTGGCTTTGCCAAGGAGGCCTCCTACCGGAGGGCTGAGCTCAGGACCCCTAGTGGCCCCCTCTCTGCCCATCAGCTCCCCCGGGGGTCTGCGGCCACGTCCCGTGGGCCTGTTCCCAGGAAGGGAGGGACCTCAGTTTCCGTCTCTGCGCCCACGTGGGCCTGATGGGGAGTGGTGACTCTGACATTGCCCAGGGTCTGCAGACGGAGTCACCGTTTTCCTGGAGAGAGGGCTCCCGCAGAGCTGGGCTTTCTCTGAGGCAGGCTTTCCCATCCTTGGACACCGCCCTACAGCTTAAGAGAGGAAGAAAACAAACGAGACAGGGAAGAGATGGGGGCTCAGTTCAAGTGAGCGCGTGGGAACGCGCCGCTCAGGGGGAAGAGCTGTCCTGCTGCTGCTGGCCTTGCGGGCCCCTCACCGGCGCTCTGTGGCTGGTGGAGGGCCGGGTGTCTCTCTGCTCCCTTCGCAGGACGTGCAGAGCAAGCTAAAGGAATCGGCTCAGTGTATGGGAGACGAATTCACGAACTGTAAGCTGGCGACGCGGGCCAAGGTACTTGTCGAGTTTCGGTGTGGCCCCCCTCCCGGTCAGAGCCGAGAGCCCTTCGCAGGAACGTCTGCTTGTGCCAGGAGTGCACTCAAATCCATCGCAGGCTTTTCTCACTTATTCCTCATTTCGGCTCTGAAACATGGCAGGCTTCACACCCATTGTGCAGACGAGGGACAGGTCAGAGAGACTGCCACTTGCCGAGGTCGCTGACTTCTGAGCAGGAGGGCCCACGTGTGACTGGGCTTTCTCTCCACAGAACCCACCAGGTTCTTGTGCTGCGTCCCGAGGCTTCATGTGATTCAGGTGGACATACACTTGGTCACTAGCTTTCCAGTTTTCAGGGGGTTGATTGTTGCCTGGGTTTATTTTAAAATTTAGTTAATCTGGTGTTATTCTCAAAAAGATCTTAAGATAGCTGTGCGGTAGCTTTTGTCCCCCCTTTTCTTAAACCGCTTCTGCGAACGAAATTACGGACCCTTCCTCTTTTTGTTTGCTAAGCTTTCTGGTTTTAGGCATTACGTGGTCAATCCTAGTGAGGAGTAAAGCTGATCAGAAGTTATTCTTAGGGGCTAGAGGAGGCCTGCAGAGGCCTCCGCGCGTGTGGACAGAGCTGTCCGGGACTCTGCATCCACCCTTCAGAGCGGGAAAGTCACTACTTGAGTGTTTCTGGTAGGACCTCCCGTTTGACCCAGTTTCAGTGGACACTAGCGTCATGATCTCAGGGACCGTCCAGCTCGGAGTTCGTGCTGCTAGGCAGTGCCGTTTGTTCCTTTTTTAGACTAGGGAGGTCCACTGCAGACACTGGAGGAGTAGAGGTGGAGTCGCAGCTGGTCGCTACACGACCCGCACTTGGGCGTCTGGGCTCATTTGCCTGTTCACTCGCATGGCTTGCTTCATCCTCTGTGGGTTGTCTTTTCTGAAAGGTGTCCAGCATCTGGTGACACAGTTTTTCTTCTGTCCTCACCTGTCAGGACTTCCTCCCAGCTGACATCCAGACTCAGTTCGCAGTTAGCCGGGAGCTGATCCGAAATGTCTACAACAGCTTTTACAAGCTTCGTGATCGGGCCGAGAGGATTGCGTCAAGGGCCATCGACAATGCTGCTGACCTCCTCATATTCGGGAAGGAGCTAAGGCAGGTGGCCCCGCTGGGTTCCATGGGGCTGCTGGGGTGGGAGGGGTCTTTAGACTTCAGTGCTGGGCTTGGGGCAGAAGTTGCATTTACCATAATAACCCATTTCACTCCAAAAGGGGAAGCAGAAGGCTAGGCAGATGGGAGCTCGTATTTGGAAGAAAAAAGGTAGAACATTTAGGCAGAGAAACATGGATTCCCAGACACACGAATGCTCGCCAGTCTCTCCCGTGTCCTCTCCCCATTGTCAGGATCGGCCTTGAACAGACATTGGCCTGGCCTCAGACAGGACACAGGGCAGTTGCTGGGGGACTCGCCCATCTCTGCAGCCCCCAGGGCACTGCTCAGACCTGCTGGCTCACGGCAACTGGGTGGGGTCTTGTGGGGAAGAGCTGGTTGAGGGTCTGGGGGCCGAGACCCTTTCTTTAACGGGCTCCGGGTTTCACACACCACTCTTTGAGCAGTGAGGTCTGGGTCGGGACGTGCGGGTCACCCTGGGATGATGTGTTCGGGCAGAGGGAGGTGCCAGCTTCAAGGCCTTGAGTGTCCCCTCTCCCGTGTGTTTCGTTTCCCCAGTGCTTTAGGGTCTGACACGACACCGCTCCCCTCCTGGGCCGCTCTGCACAGCAGCACGTGGGGGTCCCTCAAACAGGCGCTGAAAGGGCTCTCTGTTGAGTTTGCACTGCTCGCTGACAAGGCCGCCCAGCAGGTGAGTGAGCGTGCTCTCCGCGGGCCCCGTCCCCAGGGCAGCCTGTGCCTCGCCTGTGGGAGCGCCTCCTGAACTGGGCAGCGGTGTTCTGCGTCTGAGCGAGCGGGCCGCTGTTCTCGGGTTACGGCTGCATGTCCCCATCTATTCTCGGGTTAGGGCTGCAGGACCCCATCTGTTCCGGGTCAGGGCTGCACGTCCCCATCTGCTCTGGGTTAGGGCTGCATGTGCCTTTCTGTTCCTGTTCTGGGTCAAGGCTGCACATCCCCATCTATTCTCGGGCCAGGACCACATGTCCCCATCTATTCTTGGGTTAGGGCCGCACATCCCCATCTGCTCTGGGTTAGGGCTGCACGTACCCATCTGTTCCTGTTCCGGGTCAGGAATGCACATCCCCATCGATTCTCAGGCCAGGGCCACACGTCCCCATCTGTTCTTATTCCAGGTCAGGGGTGCACATCCCCATCTGTCCTCGGGTTAGGGCTGCACATCCCCATCTGTTCCTGTTCCGAGTCAGGGCTGCGCGTCCCCATCTGTCCTCGGGTCAGGGCTGCACATCCCTATCTGTTCTCAGATGGCTTCCCTCAGGCCATTTGCGCTTTTCAGCGGCTCACTGATGACAAAGACAAATGGGGTTCTGGTCGCTGGAGACTGCTGAGAAGTTATAATTCGCCCTTGGAAACGTCGAAACGTCGTCTTAGACTACACTTCTGGGTGGGCCAGGGTCCTCGTGTGCTTTTCTTTTCAGCTAGCATTCGGCCCCTCAGTAATTTGCCAGAGCACTGACTCGGCTCCAGTGCCTGAGAGACCCCCTCCTTTTGCCCTCGGCACCCAGTGAACCTCAGGGAAGGCAGGTTACACGGGCAGCTGCCTTTGTGTAACTCTGCAAGGGATCCGCCATTGGGGATTAAACCGAAGATGTATCCGGGGGCTTTTCTGCTCTAAAACTGTTACAGCGTTTCGAGGGTGAGACTCGCAGCCTGGTTCCCCGGGGTCGGTCGCGAGGCAGCCAGCGGGCGGTGCTGAGTGAACTGGACAAGGAGTGAAGGCCCAGCCGCCGCCTGGCAGCTGAGGCCGTGCAGCAGCCTGCCGGGAACCCGGTGGCACAGGTGGCTCTGTGGCTGAGGAGTTGGGGGTTTCTCAGGCTCGCAGTAGGTGCTCAGCCAGCTGCCCAGGACGTCTCTGACCGGCTCAGCCAGCCCTTGGACCGGTTGCTGGCGCAGAAGTCCTGGGCTGCTTCTGCCTGGTCCCGGCGCCTGTGTACTTGTTTAGGGACCGAGTGTGGGCAGCATTGGCGCTGCACCCGGGCTGTCTCCAGGCAGATGATGTCTGTGCCTCTTCGGGGGACCGAGGGTGTGCTGGCGGAGTTTGGCTGCTTAGCGGGATGGGCGAGTTCAGAGCAGCCTCTCTGCCTCGGCAGTGTCGGGCACTGAGCCCTCGCTCGGGTCTTTGGGTCCCTGGGCCAGTTTCCGCATCGAATCAGAGCAGGCGGGCTGGACCAGATCCTTAAAAACTTCCAATGCAGCCTCTCCAAGCTTTGTCTGTGGAACGTGGAGGCGAGGATGTCCCACCCGCAGGCCCGCAGCTCCCTCCCCAGAGCCTAGGTGGCCTCTGTGGCGGCCAGGAGGGGCCCCGCTTCCTGGCCGGGGGACCACCGCCTCTCTCCTGCTTCAGGTCCATGCTGTCTCCCCTTGAGCAGAGACCGAGGCTCAGGCCCGTGCTGTGTGCTTGTGTCTGGCGTCCCTCCCGGCTCAGAGACTCTGAGCCCGTCTCCCAAGTGCGGAGAGGAGGGGTCTGAGGAGGTGTCGTTTCCTAGACACCTGTCCCGTCTCCGGTGGTTTTCGTGCTGTGTGGAGTCCGCGGTCAGACGAGCGACAGCCAGCACAGCCAGCGCTGCAGGGCACTGTCGCTGAGCGAGTGAAGACGCCCAAGGGCCAGCCTTCCCGCTGGGCGGTTTTCTCCGTGGTGGTAGGGTGCGTGCTTTTGGTAAAGGCACAGGTGTTGGTGGTTTAGGGTCTCGGGCAGCACTGAGCCAGAAATAGGACTTGTTGGCCAGTGACCCAGGCGCAGGGCCTCTGAGTGCCTCTCTGCTGCAGACCAGGGGAGGGACCTCCATTTCGTGTCCCTCTGCCCAGTCAGGAGGACTCAGGATGCCTGTGGCCATTGGGTATTTTCTGCAACCTTCTTGGCTGGAATCTCTGCTGTGGCTGTAGGGTCAAGTGGCCTGGAAACTCCTAGCTCAGTGGCCGGGGACTTGAGAGTCCCCGAGCTGGTGCCAGAGCCCGGGTGGGAGCCCCATTGGACTGGTCCTTGTCTTTTGCTGCCTGGCGGCTGCACCTTTTCTGTGGTCATGGGATGAGCCTCAGCTGTCTGTGCTGGGGTTCCAGAAGGGCCCCGGTTCCACTGAGGATCCAGCAGTGCACCTGGAGAGGGGCTCAGCAGATTGGGTCACATTCGTATCCCCAGGGTGCCGTGAGCGACTCCAAGGCCTTGGCCTCACCCCTTTTTCCGTCATTGTCAGGGACACCTGTTCCCCTAACAGGGCCACCCCCTGTACTGCTGTGGGCCTCTGTGCTCGTCTCAGTTGCTGTCGCCTGTGTGCGAAGTGCGTGCGGGATGCAGAAGCAGCCCCTGTCTAGCCTGCTCCTCCCTCCCGTGCCATGCAGGTGGCCGTGGGTGGCCTTTCTCATCTCCTCTGTCCGCCTCAGCACTCAGCACGTCTTCGTTCAGTGTGTCAGCTCGAGTCTTTCACGTGCAGCAGTCTGTTCCCTGCGCTCCTGTCCCTGTCGTTGGAGCTGCTTGACTCCCCTTCCAGCCCCAGCCCCAGCCCCAGGCCCCCGCCCCGTCTGCTGCTCTTTTCCAGCACGCTTCGGTATCAGCTGAAACTCGGGTTTTTCTGCGGTGCTGGCAGAGCCGTGGGTGAGGAGGTGGGAGTGCCCGGTTCTCCTGGTGTGTGTGTCGGGGGGACATGTTGGCCGTGGCATGTTGGAAGGACATGACACGCAGTGCTGCACAGCAAGCACACGTGGGCAGGGGCCTTGGAGACGGAGGCCCCTGGTCTCATCAAACTGCTAGGCTGTGTGGCTTCGCCTCGTGCTGGGCGCTGTCATGTTTTGGGGGGGCTCTTCCGCGGAGCTGGCCAGAGTTCCCGGGAAGGGCCGGCCCCGGCATGCGGACGTGTGCACCCCCAGCGGGTCTCTGGGTCCTGTGTGTGCTCAGCCTGTTGAGCCCGTTCTTGTTCCCCAGGGCAAAAAGGAAGAGAACGATGTGGTGGAGAAGTTGAACCTCTTCCTGGATCTGCTCCAGTCCTACAAGGTGAGTCTGGGCAGCTCCCGCTCAGGTCCCGTGAGCTTTCAGGGCTGTGGCAGGGAGGGCGAGGAGAAGCCAGGGCTGGGCGGGGGGGAAGGCGGGCCTGGTGCAGGCTGCCCAGGAGCACCCCTTGGCAGTTGCTGCGGGGTGCTCCGGGCCTCTGGCTTCCCTGAGCTGAGGGCTTAGGTGTGCGGGCCCTCCCGCGACCCCTCGGCAGCCGGGCAGCGTGGGGACTCTGCGAGAGGCAGGCTGATCCGCAGCGCCCTCGTGGCATCGCGCCCGCCCCCCGCAGGACCTGTGCGAGCGGCACGAGAAGGGCGTGCTGCACAAGCACCAGCGGGCGCTGCACAAGTACAGCCTGATGCGGAGGCAGATGAGCGCGGCCGTGCACGGCCAGCAGCCCGAGGCCGTGCAGCAGCTGGAGTCGCGCATCGTGGAGGTGCGCCTGGCGCGGGCCTGCTCCCAGGGGCTCAGCAGGACGCCTGGTGGGGCGGGGCGGGGGCTGGGCCCGCGGGAGGGAGGGCGCTGTGCTGGCTGGGCCGCGTGGTCTGGGAGCAAAGGGCCCCTCCGTGTGTAGCAGGAGAGCACGATCCAGACGATGGAGCTGCGGCACGCCTTCTCCCTGTACTGCCTGCACCAGGAGACGCAGCTGGTCCACGCCCACCTGCCCCTCACCTCCCACATCCTCGGGGCCTTCGTCAACTCCCAGATCCAAGGGCACAAGGAGGTGGGCACCCCGCACCGCCCGGCCTGGCCCTTCCTGCGAGCCGGCCGCCCTCCTGGCTGACCCTGAAGAATGGCCTAGGGAAGGTGTGGGGTGGGCTGAGCACTGTCCAGACAGACCCCCTGTGTGGCCAGAACGCTCATCGTGCAGTTGTTCTCTGCGGAGCTGGGGGGGGGCGGCAGCATTGCAGAGGGGCAATCCCTCATCTTCTGGAGAGGCCCGGAAGTCAGGGGTAAAGTGCTCAGGGTCCTCAGGAACGGACAAGTGGAGATCAGAGACCGTGGGAACCGGCGGGTGGGGCACCGTAGCTGGGGGGGTCCCCGAAAACCTTGGTGGTGGCTCCCGAGCCTGTGGGGACACGCTGTGACCACATCTCAGATGCTGCAGCAACATTTGCCCGGCTGGAATTATCTAGAGCCAGCAGCTCTAGCTTCTGTCCTTGGCCCTTGGCTCACCCTTCTCAAACCGCGACACGGGTGTTCATCTCCGAGCAGCTGGGGGCCCTCCGTCTGGCCAGGGCTGAAGAAACACTTAAGGAGTGACACTTGTCTGCTCCTGCCTTGCTGGCCTCACAGTTTCTTTCTGTTTTGGTCGATCCTCGTTCCTCAACACCTCTCGCTAGCACTGCTAGTGGCCAACCCCAGCTCCTTGACACGCTGTGGAGGCTCAGGCTCAGAATTTCTAAAACTGTGTCTAAAATCCCAGCTCTTTGACTTGTGAGCTCTGCCGGCCTTGGGTGGGTCATTTAACTTATGTGGCCCAGTTTCTCTCTCTGAAAAATGGCATAAAATACGCCCCTCCTGGAGCAGCTGGGGATTCAGTGGGAGCTGGGCTGTAAGCAGTCACTCTGTGCCAGGCCTGTGGCTGTGCTGGGCACACAGCTGGACCAAGCCGACCCTGTCACCAGGGACTTCTAGTCAAGCAGGAGACCCAGATCGGTCGGCAGGCTGGAGGGGCATGGGCTTCTCACGTCCTGTGCGGACAGGGCGGGTGGGGTCTACGCTCCTACAGATCTGCCTGGGGGCCAGGGAGCTCTCTGTGAGCCCGTAGAACTCAGACCCGTAGTTCAGAAAGGTCACTGGTGACAGCTCGGAGGGCAGGTTACGGGCTGGTAGATGCAGTTTACTGGTCCAGCCGCAGGCAGTCGTGGCTGAGCAGGTCAGTGGACAGTAAGACCCTAGTCCAGCGCCACTGTGCCAGAACCACCTGGAGTGTCTGTACAACGTGCAAATGACGGGGCACAGATTCCGCCATAGTCCTAACTCAATCTCTGGGGCCCGGACTTGGGACTCTGCGTTTAGTGGGACCCCAGTGAGTCTGGGCTGAGAGCCGAGGCAGGAGGACACCAGTGAGCCTGCGCTGTGCCTGGGTGAGGCGCCAGGGCCCTGACCCCGATTTCTCTGCGGAGGGTGACTGACGAGCCCCTGGCCTCATGATGCGGAGACCAGACCCTGCTCCATCCGCACGTTCTCAGGGCCACACCCTGCTTTTCTGCTGTCAGCCATCACGCCACCTGTGCTGACCAGGATGCCCACTCACTGCCTGGGCCTCCCTGACCTTCAGGCCCTCGGTCTTCCTTTCTCATCCTGGGGAACCGAGCGCTTGGCGGGCGCTGGCGGCGTGTCTCCTTCCTACCGCATCTCGTTCACTTGTGTGGTCACCTGGCAGTCACTGTCACAGTGTCCAGCCTGCTTAGCCAGAAGGCTAGTGTTTACAGAGCTGTTAGTGGAAATGACACATTACTTAAACTTCTGCATCGGGCAGACTTGTGCCCCTTCCGTCCTGTGTGCAGGGGACAGAGGGATTGGCCATCTGTTACCCCTGGTGTTGGGCCCAGTCTGGGGTAGTAGGCTGTGATGCAGGGAGCTGGAGGGGCAGCTGTAGGGGAGGCGACACGCTGGCTCGTGGTGGTATGTCCCCTCCACCCTAGCCACTGGACGACTGGTCCCCTGCTGGTGCCGTGCGAAGAGTGTATGGGGTGCTGGTCCCCGCCCGCTCACCCCGTCCTCCTCCCTCCTCCAGATGAGCAAGGTGTGGGACGACCTGAAGCCCAAGCTGCACTGCCTCTTCGCTGGACCCAACAGCACCTGACCCTGCCAGGGTCCCCAGGGATGGCCTGTCTCCTCACTAGTGCTGCGAGGACCCGGGGCGCAAAACCCACCGGCGCCCTCACTAAAACTTCTTTCCAAACGGTGTGTCCCTGTTTGATTCCCTTCAGAGAGCAGCTGTCCCCCATGTCCCGCGGGCTGCCGCCCTCAAGCAGGAGAGCTGACGTCAGGGCTGGCAGGTCCGGTGCGACGGCGCAGAGCCGAGGACACGGCTGTGGGCTCAGGCTGTGGCCGTCCTGGCCCAGCGCTGTGGCCTGAGGCTTGTGCTGGAAAGCGTCGGCCCCTGGGATGGCTTCCCCTGGGACCTGGAGGCCAGCGTGCGGCAGAGGTTTTCACAGCACACGGTGCCCGGGGGGTGCAGGGGCCCTGTGCTGGAGCAGCCGGAGAGGGAGGCCGAAACCCTGTGGAGGGCAGGAATGTCCCTGCGGTGGCATGTCACCCTGGATGAGGCACAACTGATGAGTGAGAGGGCAGTCCTGGGCGGGGGGTGAGTGTGCGAGGCGGCTGCTGGGGCCAGCAGGGCAGGTGCAGCTGGGGGCCGCTGGGCATGAGCGTTTCGCTTCCACAGAATGAGCTCCCGCGAGCGTCTCGTGTCCCTACACATGCGTGTGCATGTGCACACACTCTGTGACCCAGGTGTGCCCGTGGTCTGAGGTGTGGCAGACAGGGTGGCCTGGTGCTTCCGCTGTCCGTCCCTGTACCAGGAGCTGCTGTCCTCCCTGGAGAGATGCTCCTCTCTTTTGGGGCTTAGAGGGGGCCGTGGGGGAGTTGTTCTGCCTGGGGCCTCTCAAACTGCCTCATTCCCGGTTGACTAGAACCCTCCTCCCAGCCTCTCTCGCACTTGCTGGCCCAGCCACCTGTGCCCAGGGGCCTGGCATTGCGGCAGCTCTGGGCGTGGGAAAGGGTGTTTCCTGCTCTGAGTCCCGTCCGTGTGAACGTGGAGCAGACTGGCCCCCTCGGGCGCCCTGGCCCTTACTGTCTCGTTGGCCAGGAGAGGTGTCGGAGGCGGCTCTGACTCAGAGCTTTCTCTGTCAGATGTGGAGTCTGCCTTCTATTCGCCCACCCTCACGGGCATGCAGGACCCGGGATGGAGCTGGAGGCTCTGGGTAACTGCGCCTGCAGATGGGTGCCGCACTTCATGTCCCGGGGGAGGTGTGTCGGGCCCGCCCGCGTGATTCCACCCGTGTGGAAGCAGCCGTGGGTGTGGGCAGGCCAGCTGTGCTGCCCCAGCCGAGGCGCTGCCGGGCCGACGTGTGCCTCCCGGGCTGAGGAGCACGCCTGTGCTACTCCACGGGGCTGGTCCTTCCCAGTGCTGTGCACTTGAGCCATAAAGCGTGTCCTTCAGTGGCTGCTGCTCACCTTCTGGAGCCTGTCATGCGTGGCAAGGGGCAAGCCACCACCAGAGGGGGAAGTAGTCCACACCCCAACCAGATGGGCTGGATGGCCGGATCGGGGCACAGCTCGCACACTGGGGCAGCAGTGTGGGAGGGTGACAGGGAGTGGCTCCCAGTCAGGTTGAGGCCCTCCTTACCAGGTCACTGGAGAGTTTCAGCACCAAAGACGTCCTCCTGATGGCCTCTGCTGCTGGCACACCACCCTGCCGGGAGCCAAGGAGCAGGCTCCTGGCTGGGGCCCGGGCCCTGTTATTGGAGGCTCCCCCAGAGGGGCACTTTCATCCTGGGCGCTGTGGAGGTCTAAGGGAGGACACTCAGGAGTGACAGAAGGTCATGTCAGCTGGGGACAGCAGAGGCCACCTTTTTCCACAGTTTCCTCTTGGCCCGGAGCCTGGGCTGCTGGTAGATTCCTGGCTGGGGGCTGGCATTCTCTGCTTTGTCCTGGGGAGGGCGTGGAGGCCACTGCCAGCCGTGGGTAGAGGCTCGGGGTGGTGGGAGGGCAGGGGTCTCCTGCACGCCTCCACCGTTCCTGCCGCCCGCACTGTCCTTGCCAGCCAGGGAGAGCCGATGTGCCACTACAGCCTCGCCTCACCTGGCGGAAGGACCCCCACTGTGCTACCGACGGGAGCCCTGCCCCAGGGACGCTGGAGTGAGGCGGCCTGCGCCCAGCTCACCCACTGGGGACTGGAGACACGCCCTAGGCATTGGGCTGAAGACAAGGTCTGGGTAGCCTCTGTGAGGACAGTTCTGTGTGATGCCCTCCCTCTTGCTCTGCGTGAGTCCAGTTTTCCATGTGAAACGCTGCATCAGGCTGCGGGACTCAATCACCACCCCTCCGATAAACTGGAGCTCTCTACACGTGGTCTACACATTCCACGACTTTCATCCACAAACTGACAAACTATTAAACATGCTTATAAAACAGGGAAGCTGTGAGTTTTCTGTGTACGTGGGTGGTGACCCTCCCCAGGGTGGCCAGAAATCGGGGACAGATCGGCCGTCCTCCTGGGCTAAGGAGGGCAGCTCGCCTTGGCTCATTGGCTGGGGTTGGGGGTGGGCGGTGCAGGTCTTAGCCTGGGTCCTGAGTGCCCCAGCTCCCCACTACACAGTGGGGTGGAGAGGAGGACACACCTGCTGGCCCAGCTTCGTGGTCCCAGCAGGAGCCTGCTGCACGGAGCAGGTCAGCTCCACCAGCAGTCCACGCGGAGGCAGACGCCCTCCCCTCCCCCGTGGGCCAGTGTCCCCCACCCCACGTCTGTCTGGTGATGCGGCTCACGCCCCAGTACATCTGGTGGCTTCTGAGGATGGGCCTGGAGAAGAACGCTGTAAAGGTAAGAGATTTCTTTTCTTTCCCATCCAATCCCATTCCAAACGGAGAGCTTGGCCTGGGCTCGGCTCAGGCGCCCAGCGCAGCCGCTCAGCATCCCAGAGGCGGCGGTTCGGCCCCTACGCCGCCCACCTCTCACAGCATGGGCTCCAGGACGGTGTCCGGGCCCTGCAGCCTGAAGTGCCCGTGGACTCTTCCAAAGTAGGAGGGGCAGCCCCTAGCTGTCATCGGGCCACATGTCAGCGAAGGGCACCTGGCCCAGTGGGAACCACTGAGGCCGCATCTCTGCAGCGGAAGAGAGAGTAGGGTTCCAACCAGACCTCGGCGCCCTCCGGGGGCCCAGGGCCAGTCTCCTTTCCTATCGTGACTCGTGGTACAGACAGGAGGGCTCGCTGCGTGTGTGGGGTACCTCGTTTACCCCTGGCAGGTGGAGGTGCCCACTGCGCTGGCTCCCAGCCAGCATGGTGGAGAGGGCCAGGCCTCGGGACTCACCGTCGCGCTCTGTGGGCGTCCCCTGGTGCTCTGTGCAGAAGACGTGCACGCCCGTGACCTCGGCTCACCCACGGACTCCAACCTGATGCAGCCCACCTTACGCGGCCTGCGTGCGGTCAGACCTCTCCTGCAGCTCCCTGCGAGGCGGTGGGAACACGGACGGCGAGAGTGAGGTGCCCGCGTCCAGGCAGGCGCTGTGAGGGCGGGGCAGGGAACCCCGCGCCCAATGTCGGGGTCGGACCCAGGGGCTGCCACCTGCACCACCGAAGGGCTCCCCGCTGGGCAGAGCTGGCGTCACCTGAGACCTTTTCAGAAACCGATTTGTTCAGAGGCTCTGGGGAGGGGTCAGCGTTGAGGGGGGCCGCTGGTCGGGGTGCACGGGCCTCACTCGTCAGCCAGCACAGCTCTGCACCACGCAGCAGGCAGGGCCTGCCGGGCTCAGCTGCTTGGCGGTCTCGCGGCAGGTGGCTGGTGGTGGGACTGGGGACACGCAGCCCGTCCATCAGCTCCCGCTCGCCCCACAGCCGCGGCCCCCGAGCCCTGAAGCGAAGCCCTGCACCAGGAACCACCCTTCCTTGGCCCGCATGCACTCAGCGCAGATCATCAGGTTCCTGTCAGCTTCCCAGAGGTGGGCTGTGTTGGGCTTGTCCGCCAAGGCGGCCCTCAGCCCTCTAGCCAGCTGTCCTGCGCTGACCCCAGGGCATGGGCTTTGGGCCTGTCTCACCCATTCTCAGGACCACTGTGCTCGGAGGAGGGTTTGGGGTTAGTCTCAGCACGTGAGCACAGTGCTGACTCACCACCAGCACAGCCAGGATGCCCCGGAACACACCAGGGCATATCTCGAATCAGACACTCGGAGCAGACAGCCCTGCGAGCACCCCGGATGCGCCGCCCAGAGAGCCCGGCTGCCATTCAGCGTTGCCCTGATGTGCACCCCTGAAAAACGCACACGTACCCCACACACGCAGCAGAGCGCCACGCACAAGGAATTCATTCAGCCTCTCAGCTGCTGTGTGTCACCGAGTAACAGCTGTACCCTGCTTATAATGACCCTCCCCGCCATGACCCTTCCCACCGTGGCACGGCGCTCCGCGTGCGTGCCCCTCGCTTCTGCTCATCCAGGCCCCCGGCAAGCGCTTTCTGGAAGAGCCATGCTCAGGACTCTGGGGACCCCGAAGCCACGCAACCATGAAACTCTGTCCCTCCTGTTAGGGACTCTCACTTCCTCACTGCCCTATATTTATTTTTGTTTCTATTGAAACGTTCTAATTGTGTCTGACCGTTTATAGTTGTACGTATGAAGTTCTTAGTTTTGGTCTCCAGCGACCTTAGGGGCACGATGGGCACTTTTTGTGCCTGTGATGAGTCAGGGAGACCACCTGTGCATCACACATGGCGGGTTCAATGGGAGCGTAAGCAGATGTCCCTGGGCTCAGAAACCACCTTGACCTTCCCATGGGGCCTGGAGCCACTTCCACCTGCTGCCGCCTCAGCTGGAATTTATTCACTGAGACGGTTCATGAAAATTAGGCTTGACCTAAAACTGAGTGTGTGTCTTCACTTGGGGGTGCATATGGCTCCCTAGTTAAAGTACCAGAAGCGCTTAGCGGGGCCTCACGCCTTCTCTGGCAGCAGGCTGGATCTCGTTTTTAAAAACGTCAACTCCTGATTTAATGTTTTGACTGATTTTGGCGAGTCTTCCCCGAGCACATGGCAATGTGTGGAACAATCGCCTCCTCCGTGGCGGAGCTGAAGCTCTGTTTCACGGCTGGGATGACGTGACAGCCAGGGACGACAGCACTGCCGTGTTGCCAGTGTGTCTGACTGGGTCTGGTGCTCAGTTCCTCGGACGGCAGATGGAGACCAGGACGAGTGACACATTAAACAAATGGCAGCAGCCAAGAGCCTTGTGGGCGTGCGGGACCTGCCATGTAGCTGGGGACTCCCGCTTCAGCCGCCTGTGCCACATTCCGGGGTCCCCGCATCAGAGACGCTGGCCAGAAGGACAGAAAGCGCCCCCTACAGCAGCCCGAACCTGACTCTGAGGGCCCCCGCCCCCAGGGGAAGGACGCAGCGCCCTTGACTCAGACGGCGCTGGGCACATCCTGAAAGGGATGAGCACTTGCACACGCCCCCCCCCCCAGCCCACAAGTGGGTGAGGCTCTCGAACTGGAGCGCGCTGGGGCCCCAAAGGGCAAAGGGCAGTGCCGTGGAAAATGCGGGCGCCAGACTCCGCCGAGGCTGCCCCGGCTCCCCTGCAGCTAGAAGCTGAGCCGTGGGTCTGGGGCAGTTGGGGTGTCATCCCCAAGGCCAGTGAGGCCCGACACCTGCTGGAGGCCCCGGGCCCATCCATGCCTGCCCATCGCGTGAATTAGAACGTACCATCCGGCCGGCCCCTCTCCCACACTGCAGAGGTACAACAGTCCTTTATCAGAAGGTGTCCTGACCCTCGCCTCCAGCCCACCCCGTGCTCCGGAGGGCACCTGGTGCCCCCTGGGAGAGGAGATGGGGTCCTGGATAGCTCCGAGTTGCTGACCCGAAGGCTCTGGCCTGTCTGGTGCATACAGTCCACATATGGACTGGTCTGAATCTGGCGGACGGTGCGGCCCTGGACGGTGAACGTGGGGCCTGACTCAGGGTGAGGCCTGTGCCACGCTCATGAAAAGTGCCTGGCCCTTTAGCTCGTTGCTTCTGAGCACGGAAGCCACCAGTGCCCCGTGGCCGCTGGGAGGATGTCCTCTGGGGCTAACGTGCTGCCTGCAGGGGCAGGATGTCCTTGTGGATGCCCAGCTATCAGAAAGGAGCTCCCCCCACAGCCCTGCCTGCTGGATGAGGCCCCCAAAGTATAGAGACTCGTGAGCCTCTGAAAGGGTATCTGAGACCTTTAGCACAAAGCCCTGACTATGTCTGGACAACAGTCATTGATTTTTCTGACAGTTTTGTGATCTACAGTGAGGTCAGGACGGAGAAGAGGGTAACGGGCCATGGCGCTGCCACTCAGTGGCTTCTGGTTGTGTGTCTGGTCAGCTGTGCGAGTTTATTCGTTTATCCACCCAGCCTCGTTAGGCCTGTAGAAGTCCTCCCCATGCAGGTGCTGGGGAGACCGGAAGGGGAACCAGCCTCCTGGTTCTGTCACGTCTTTCATGTGTTTACAATCAGCTGACACCAGCGGAGTGGGGAACCATGGGCTTTCAGTAAGTGATGCTGTCTCAGCTGGATACGAACGTGAGAAAAATGAACCTGGACCCTCTGCCTTCCACCACACACAAAGCCCGATTCCAGCTGGATTCAAGGTCTAACATTTCTACAAGTCGAAGAAGAAAACTTGGGAGAATATCTTCTTAAGCTTGGGGTAGGCAGACATTTCCTAAATGGGATGTAAAAAATGATGACCGTGCAGAAAATATTTACAAAAAGTTACACATGGGGTTACGTTAAAATGATAAACTTGTTTACCAAACTCATTATGAGTGAACAGACAAGCAAAGATAAGAATCATACCTCATTTCTCAGCCGGAATTGAGAGTGGAGTCAATATTTAAAGTGCTGAGAAAAACCCATCAAGCTAGAATTCTGTACTCTGTGATACTATCCTTCAAAAGAGAAGGAGAAATAAAGACTGACTCAGACAAAAATTCGGGGGCTTTGTTACCAGCAGACTTGCCTTGTAAGAAATGTTAAAAGTTCTTCGGAGAGGTGGCAAATAATACAGGGCAGAAACATCTACATAAAGAAAGGAGGGGCATCGAAGAAGGAATGCGAAGGTAAAACACTTTATTTTACTTGTTAATCGATCTCACAGGCAAGTTTGGTTGAAATACCAGCAGCGCCGCGTTCGCTCACGTCTGCCTCTCGTGTGTGCACCTGTGCGTGTGTCTACTTAGGGTCAAGTGAACGACAGCAGGGCTGCAGGGACGGGAGGGAGGAGTCAGGGTGACCGTGGTGTGGTAAAGACTCCCACTACCTGCGAAGCAGTAGAGTGCTACTTGAACACGAACTTAGATTAGCTGTAAATGCATATCGCAAGCTCTAGGGCAGCCACTAAAACAGGTAAAAAAAAAAAAAAGGTATAACTGTTAAAGAAGAGAAAAAGGAATCATAGAAAATGTTCAATTAAAACCACAAAAAGCAGAAAAGAGTGGAAAACAAAAGTAGGAAAAAGAACAAAGGCAGCCGAGACCATCACGCGAAGGAAAACCACGTCAGTGGCCACTCCGAATGTCCGTCCATGGTCTAAACGTACTGATGTAAAGACAAACATTGTCAAAGAAAACCAATAAAATGCACCTAAGTCATCAAAAAAGGAAAAAAAAGACACTGTCAAAGTGAATGGGAAAACAACCCATCCATGTTGTTGATGACGGACCCACTTTAAATATAAAAAGTAAACGGTGGCAAGAAACACACCACGCCACCGCTAATCGAAAGAAAGCCCGGTGTGGGCCCCAGGCCGGGACAGGGATGGACCCTGTCAGACAGACAGACAGAGCTGACTCGGAGCAGGGACGTTCGTTACCAGGAAGGAAAGGTGTGACACCGAGAGTACTCGGTCTCCAGGACACACGCCCTGACGTGTCTGCACCTCACGAGTGCGTTGGCAGCGAGAGGCGAGACCAGCAGAGCAGAAGGGGAGGCAGCGGGGCCCATCGGTGGAGACGGCAGGCCGAAAAGCAGCAAGTAGTGACGTGGACACAGAACCACAAATCAGTGAGAAAGACAGGCGGCCACACTTGAGCAGACACATCACAAGAAGGACATCCGAGCAGCCAGCCGACACCGAGCAGGTGCTCAGCCTCCTTAGTCACTAGGGCAGACAGGTAAAGCCTCAGCGAGGCGTCAGCCCACAGGCCAGCACGGCCAGAATGGAGAAGACAGGACAACAGCGCGGCCGACACGGGGAGGGAGTGGGCCGCGGAGCCCACCGCGGGGCTGGGACACGCAGGTCCTCGACCC